CTCTTCAACTGGTTCCTCATCCGACTCGTCCTCTGGCACAAATTCGGGGTCGTACATTGGCTCGTACTCTAGCTCGTCCTCGGGTGCGTCCTCCGGCTCTTCTTCAGGCTCATCTTCTAGGGCCTCTTCAGGTTCTGTCTCAGGTTCTTCCTCTTCTGGTTCTTCCTCTGGAATCGCCTCTAGATCCACGTCCATCGGATCGTATCCCGCCTGGGATTCTTCAGGCTCTGGTTCATGCTCGGCCCCCCGAAGGCTCAGGTACTGCAGGCACAGGTTGAAGTCCAGACTGTGCCAGGCTAGTCTCTAGACTCGTCATCTCGCCGTCGGGAGGGGGTATGGCTACCGGGTCCCAATCTCCAACTCCGTCAAAGGGGACATCAAATCCACGGACGGGGCCAAACTCATCTACCTCGTCTCGAAAGAACCAAGCAGTATAGGTATGGGCCTGCCAAAGGGATAACCTTACGTCTACCCAGACTACTGTAGTATGCTTGATCTAGGTCATATTATCGTCTATCGGGTACTCTACAATATTATGGTCGGTGTGCATCGGTACTCCAAAACGCTCATGTGGCGGCGGTGGGAGATTCATTGCTCAGGCCGGGGTTCTGAAATTATTGGTTGAAACAACCATGAGATGACATCTCAATAAGCACACACCCTATCACAGCTAAAAATAACCCCCGAATCAGCCATCGTACCGACTGATAACAAATTTCTACTCATCAAGGGTATGTGCATCACGTCTAGAATAGTCTTCACCGCGCCATTACTCATCCTCAGCTTCACCCTGCCACGCCCGACAATTTGAACTGCAGTATCATCTCCGAGCATGACATCCCTACCATTATATTGCTTATATTCACAAAATCAGTGTCTATGAGGCGTCATGTGGTATGAAGCACCGATATCGATCAACCATATATCCTCGTCTGACTGTGCCATACACGCAGTAACCAAATACATATCTCCTGCATCGACCTCCTTTTTACTCGAGGATGATTCAGCTTCTTTCTTAAAAACTGGCTTGTTTTTACAGTCCCGCTTCATATGGCCCTACTCTTGACATTTCCAGTACTGTACCCTTCTCTCCCTACTCTTCGATCGCCCACGAGATTTGGATCTGGACCCTCTCAGATTCAGAGTCTTCTCTGCTGGCCTTCCCCTAGCCGCCAATGCCTCTTTACCGGAATTTCTCGATCCCTTTCTTCGTGTCTCCTCTGATAATAAGGCAGAACACACACTTTCATACGATAATTCCTTATCCCCACCACCGATCACCACAATCAGGTTATCCCATGAATCCGGCAGTGAACAGAGCAGTGTTATTGCCTTATCATCATCTTGGAACTTAACACCGATTGATACGAGTTGACTAATCAATGTGTTAAAGTTATACAGATGTGCAGAAAACGAGTCGCCCTCATGCATCCGAAGATTATACAGCTTTTTCCTAAAAAATAACTTATTAACCAACGACTTACTTTGATACAGCAACTCCAGTTTCTGCCATAGGTCCCTGGCTGTAGGTTCCCCCATCACGTTTGTCAGAATCAAGTCTGCGAGACAAAGCCGAATCAAACCCTTTGCTTTCCGATCAATCCGATTCCAATCTTCAATCTCGTTTGGATCTGCCGGTTTGGAAGTTGAATCTGTTTCCTTCACCGCTTCCTTGCCTATCATGACACCAGGTTGCGCAGCAACATGCCTTTCCATTTTGATTGCCGACCAAAGATCTCGATCACAGAGAAGATCCTCCATCTTCATCTTCCACAGATCAAACCGCGTTCCATCGAATTTTTCTATCTCAATTCGTGATCCTCCTGACATCTCGAATAAACCCTAATTCCTCGAACAACTCCGGCTCTGATACCAATTGAAGGGATGTATCGAGAACCGAAACAGAACAATCACGCAGAAATCAATAGACGATGCACGAATTTACCCAGGTTCACCATCGATTAGGGCTACGTCCTGCAAAGAGATTTCACTATATTTTCGGTTTACAGCCATTCAACTTGTTACAATGATCAGAAAAACGAGCAAAATATATATGTGCCCCAAACGGGCCTAAAACCTAAACCTATACGAAATTTCTTAATCTCGCACCATACGGGCCAGCTTAAATAAAAGCCCAAACCCGTTGAGGTTTCGGGGGCACTGCCCCCGAGCCCCCGCCCGCTCATCGGCGAGCGAGGCAGCCATCTGCTGACACCGGAACCCCTGTCGGGGGGCGCTGCCCCCGAACCCCAGCTCTCTGACCGGGCAGCGGGACACCCGTATTGGGGGCGCTGCCCCCGAACCCCCACATTCCACACGCAGGGGTCACATGTCGTCGGATAACGCTTCAGTTTCCCTAAGCTCACGTGGGCGTACCCGGTGTGAGAAACAAGGGTCCCCGAAGTATTCGCCAACTCCAACATCCTCTGCCGTGGCGACATCGATGCTGCGACTTGTAGCAATTGCGTAGCCACCGCGGCCCAGGATATTGGCCAGCAGTGCCCCGGCAAAAGAACCTCCATCATCTGGTACGACATATGCATGCTGAGGTACTCGAATCAGCCTATTTACTCGGTCATGCAAAAAGTCCCCGTGTCGATGCAGGCGAATGGTTGGAACGTTACAGATGACCGATCTGGGTTCCTTCAACTCCTGGGAGAGACCATGGACGATGTAGTGCGGAGTGCCCCGAGCAGCGGATCGGGGAAGAAAGTGGCCGCCGCGGAGGCAGAGCTTTCGGGCTCGCAATAGCTTTACAAGCTCGCGGAGTGCACACCCGACTTGACAAAGCATCAAACCGCGCCCCATGCCTCCGGTCGGCGATCGCAGTCTCCTCGGGGACACCGGGAGGAAGGGTGTTGACTCCGAGCTGCAACGTAAGGTTTGAGGAGTACCCCTTTTATAACGCTGCCGCGATGGTGATTGTGGCGACCATGTCGACGCCACCACCGGTCCGGCTTCCTTCTGCTCCTTCTCCGGTGACCGGACCTAAAGGTACCTAATATTGTTTTTTTTAATATTTTTTTATTTCCCACCCTTTCCAGCAATATTAGAAATTAAATAGCTGTTTTTTGCTTGGGAATTAGTCAATTATCTTATACAAGCGGTGTTTGATAATTGAAATGTGAACCACAGCAGAGTTTCAATGATAACATTCATTATAATGTTATCTTAAAGTCAACTCATGATCAAGTGGATGCTTACATTTCCCGGTAAACACGGCCATGAGTAAACCACGATGGACCGGCAGCAATTTGCCGATGGTGGATTACACTCAAACTTTGACTGTGCAAGAGCCCCTTATAATGTGGCTTTTGAACTCATTTTAAAGAGAACAATGCACGGCAAAATAGAACTCACTAATAAATTGATAATTAGATGTGATCTACTTATTTAGATACTCTTATCAAATCATTTACTAGATAAACTTTGACGAATCTCCAATAATTCTGACTAGGATTGATAGTAGCAGTGTTTATATAGATCTAGATGTTGCTAAACTCAAAGTAGAGTTGCAACTAGAAAATCCTGAGGTAGCAGGTGCTTACATGGTAATCGACAGAGGTGGTGCTTATAGCAAGGTAGAGCAAGTGAACCCAACGATTGTTGTAACTGCTGAGTTTTGTGTATTCGATCTCCTAACATATATGGATGCAATAGTGATTTGCTTTATTTATGATAAGGGATGTTGTGTCTGCGAATTCTCGTGGAGCCTTAAAGGTGCAAGTAGAGTTGGTGTTCTTACGAGGTTTTCGGTTATGGCGAAGTTCAAGCGTAGCTTGGACATTAGAGATGTCTATGGTGGTTGAGCCCATGAAGGGCTATGGGAGAGTAGAAGCAAAGTTAGAATTTTCAGCGAGAATTGAAGCGTGGCTCGGACAATGTCTATGACAATTGAGCCCATAAGGGGTTGTAGGAGAGTAATAGAGAAGTTCGGATTTTCAGCAAAGCAATTATGACTTGGCTCCGGCATGGAGCTAAGACGGAGATTGTTGAAAGTACGTCTAAAGTTTGAGCCGAATCAATAATACTTGGTCCGGATAAAGTGAAGTACATGGACTTTTTGGTTGTGGAAATTAAAAAGAAAAAGATAAGAGAAGGTCACACAAATTAATTTTCCACGTTGAAGTAAGCCAAGTATAGAAAAAGGAAAGTTGGACTTGGTTAGCTTGAATCAACCGAATTCAATTAGGATTACATGGAACATACGTTTTCATGTTGAAGTCCGCCACTCCACTTTGATTGGCTCTATGTTTTCTGTTTGTGGGAGCTTCGTGTGCCGTGATTGATGCGTGGATAGAGCGGGTCTTCATGCCATTCATGTAGTGAACATTTGCTTCGTGAAATTACATCAAGAATTTATGTGTTTGAAGCTAATTAAATCTTGTGAGCAAGATTTGTATATTCATTTATGCAAGATTGAGAGATTATTTTGTAGGAACTATGAGAGTAAAATACTATGTAAGTTATTGGGTGTAATTAAACACTGAAAAATACTAAGAGTACTTGAATGACATGAGTATGGTTGTAATATTCGTTGTATCGTATAATTTATAATGGAATCCTAAGCTGCTTTACCCATGGACATAGGACACACTAATTGAATCACGTAAATTTGATGTCTAATTTAATTTTTTTATTTTGTCTTCTTCTATCGCTTTTTTTTTTTCGCAATACTTTGTTTCTGTATCCGTCCCAGCTCCTGTATACCCTTGTACTCACTTGACCAAATGTTTATTTTGCGATGGTCCCATAAAAGTCCACGTGTGATATCAACTGTACCAGCTCGTGACTAGCTGAGACGAACTCGCACCAAAAAGTGAAGGAGATTGTCCAAGTTATTCCATTGACCTTGAGAATTAGTACTTAAGGGGAGGAGGGGCTTGAATAGAAAAATATATGTGAGATCAAGAATTTGATTAGACAATTCAAAAGTTGACGGACTCGATTGAGAGAAAAATACAAATTTAAGGACCAAAAGTGGACTTTTATACAAGCTTATAATGACTAAAAAGATAGACTCCAAGAAAATCTCAAGAACCAATTAAAGCCAAATGCAGTGTATCCATCTGAACATGAGCTCTTCCTTCACCATCTCCCTCCGTCTCCTCTTCTCCATCAATTGGCTCATCAGCATCTCTCACATCAGTGAAGCGGCACCCATTTTCGTCGGCAACTATTGCCCCGACACCAAACCTTTCCTTCCTAATTCCACCTACCAGAAAAACCTCAACAATCTCCTCTCGTCACTTTCCACTGCCGCCGATTCCGCCGGCAACAACATCAGTGGAAGTAGCGGGTTCGCCAATGCCACTGCTGGCAAATACCGGCCAGACCAGACCTACGGGATCTTCCTCTGCCGTGGAGACATCGACACCGCGACTTGCAGCGACTGCGTAGCCAACACGGCCAAAGATATCATCCGGCAATGCCCCGGCGAAAAAACCTCCATCATCTGGTATGATATATGCATGTTGAGGTACTCGAATGAGCCCATTTACTCGGTTATGCAACAAGTCCCCGTGTCGATAAAGGTGAACGGCTTGAACATCACAAACGACCGATCTCGGTTCGTGCAACTCATGGGGCAGACCCTGGACTGTGTAGTGCGTACGGCCCCGAGCATCGTATCGGGGAAGAAAGTGGCCGCTGCGGAGGCAGAGCTTGGGGGCTCGCAACGGCTTTACACGCTCGCAGAGTGCACGCCCGACTTGACAGCATCGGACTGTGGCGCATGCCTCCGGTCGGCGATCGCACGTCTCCATCAGGATACGCCAGGAGGAAGGGTGTTGAGCCCAAGCTGCAACGTGAGGTTTGAGGTGTATCCCTTTTACAACGCCGCCGCGTTGGTGACTGTGGCGACCGTGGGGACGCCACCACCGGTCCAGCTTCCTTCTGCCCCTGCTCCGGCAACTGGACCTAAAGGTACCCAGTTTTTTTTTGAAGAATTTCCCACTCTTTCCAGCAATATTAGAAATTAAAATAGCTGTTTTTTGGCTTGGGAAATAGTCAATTTTCTTTTACAAGTGAATGTGTGATAACATCGTCAATTTAATTTCGCTTAATAGGACAAAAGAAAAATATAGACTTAGTCTATCTACGTCAACATAATCATAGTCATTGATGATGTAAATTTTATTATAATACCACACATTTAAGGTTTATGATAATATTCACTTGCATATATCGATTTTATATTAATATTTTCTCGAAAAGTGCCATCTTAAAGTCAAGTCACGAGCGAGTGGGATGCATACGGTTTCCGCTAAACACGGGCATGAGTGGACCCCAAGGGACTGGCAGCAATTTGCCATCGGTGGATTCTACTCAAAGTGAAAGTTGACTTTGAGTGGCAAGAGCACTTTTAAGGTGGCTATTGAACGTATTTTTATTAGAACAATGCACGGGAAATTAAATCTCACTTATAATTTGATTTACAAAGTAATTTGTTGGACTCATATTTGATACTTAGATGTGATCTACTTATTTAGATACTTATATCATATCATTTACCGAATAAACTTTATTTGTAATTATGCATTACTTAAATTTTTCGTGTCAGATCAAGCTGTAGACGAATCAAGTGACAATGAAATTCTCAAATCGTTTATATATTGTGAATCGATTTTAGCCATCCATCAATCAAATCACCTTTGGTTACCCATCCATTTGATGCATCCATATAGGACTTAGAGGGCGATAAATCAGTGTGTCTTTATTCAGAGCAAAAGAAACACTTTTCCCATTTGGAAAATATCTTCAAAACATACTAAAGCTATCACCACAACTGAAAGCATAATCCTCCATATGCAGGAAGAAGCAATAAATCCACAGTGATAAGAATCACTGCCATTGCAGTTTCTGTTGGCGTACTTATGGTGTTTCTCTCTCTTGCTTGTTGTTTCGTTCGGAGGAAAGCGACAAAGACCCATGAGCTCGTCCAAGAAGAAGCCGGTAATTGACTACGTTCGTGTTGAAAACATTGTGTCCGTGGCTTGGATAAGTTCTATGCTTTCATTGAAATGACCAGTCTCGTGTTGTTTCATCATGTAGGCATGAATAAAATTACAAACGAGGAACCCTTGCAATATGATTTAGCTATAATACAAGCTGCTACAAAGAATTTTTCTCATCTAAACAAGTTGGGTGAAGGCGGATTCGGTGAAGTTTTCCAGGTATTTTTAGTTCAATACATCAAGAACCGCTTATATTTAGTCAGAAGCCTATTGTCAAAAGAAAAGGAAACTAACTGAAACGAAAGATCTTCTGGTGGAATGTGCAGCAGTAGTCTAGTACTACACGTGAAGAGGTCCATTATGGAGAAACCTTCAAACCCATAACATATCTTGTCCAACTCAACTTCGCTCAATAGCTTTTAGTAATTTTGTAATGAGTCAACTAGATATTGATCGTTCTGTACCATACCAATTATCCAACGTAGCTCTTCGTTTCAGCAACATTTTCACAACTGCATCTTAAAATACTTTAGATATTTGGGAAGCTTTCGATATGAAGATGATCGAGTAACTAAGCAAAAAATGCAATCATTTCAGGGGAGACTTCCTAATGGGCAAGATATAGCTGTGAAGAGGTTATCTCAGAGCTCAAGACAAGTTGCTGAAGAATTTAAAAATGAAGTTATGTTGGTCGCAAAGCTTCAGCATCGAAATCTTGTGCGACTACTCGGATATTGTTTGGAGGGAGAAGAAAAGCTACTTGTTTATGAATTTGTGCCAAACAAAAGTCTAGACTACTTTTTATATGGTAAGTTAAGTTGAGTATGCAAGTGTCTTCTAATATGTTGTCTTCTTGCTCATAAAACGATGAAATTGCATTTCAAAATAGGTATATGATCTTAGCAAGCTAGACCAATTTCTAAACTGCAAACAAATCTTTAATTATGCAGATCCTGAGAAAAGTATGCAATTGGATTGGTTAACACGTTATAAGATAGCACGGGGAATAGCTCGAGGAATGCTCTATCTACATGAAGATTCCCAACTTCGGATCATTCATCGTGACCTAAAAGCAAGCAATGTCTTGTTAGACAGTGGCATGAACCCAAAGATTTCAGATTTTGGCACAGCTAGGATTTTTGGAGTTGATCAAACTCATGCAAGCACTAATAAAATTGTGGGGACTCTGTAAGTTTTAAATTGTCATTACATTGGCTGATCATTTGGTCATGTCAAGAGATGTCTTCTCATAAAATTTACTTCGTACGCTTGCATCAATTCGAGTACACTTAGATTGAATTGTTGTGTCCTCTATTTTAGGCACGTGCGTTATATCGATTTGTTTTTTTTATTTGCAGCGGTTACATGCCTCCGGAGTATGCTAGGCATGGGAAATTCTCTGTAAAATCCGATATCTATAGTTTCGGCATCCTACTTCTAGAGATCATTATCGGGAAGAAGATTGATTATTTCTGCCGATCAGAAGGGGGTGAAGATCTAGCTAGCTATGTAAGTTGCCTATACAATTATCACTAACTAGTTTATTTATGTAAATGTCACACTGCAGTGTCTGGTATTTCGACTGAGTTTGGCCAAAATTCCGGTACAAGAAGTCCGTGTACACTTTGCTCTGTCCAAACTAACATGACTTCAGTATTGCGACTTTGCTTGACATAAGTTGTCTAATACTAATTGTATACTTCATTGAGTTAATGGTACAATTTACCGAGGGTGTTTTCTTTCTAATGGATTGTAAACAGGCATGGAGACACTGGAGAGACGGGACGCCATTGAAAGTTTTGGACCTAGCCATCCTGGACTTGGATTCAAGAGATGAAGTGCTGAGATGCCTGCACATTAGCTTACTATGTGTTCAGGAAGATCCGATTGATAGACCCACCATGACGACAGTACTTCACATGCTCAGCAGCCAGCCCGTCGCTATGCCACAGCCTCGACGTCCGGCCTTCTTCCCTCGAAGTAGAGATCAATCCATTAGTAGATCGATACACCAATCTGTCAACGGAGTGACAATTACGGAAGCATACCCCCGATGATACAATTAATTGTTTTATGTAATAGCTTCATAGGCCTTGAAATGCTTGGTCTTCCGTGGATACCACTAATGAACAATGAGCAGCTTCTATTAGTCTAGAGTCCTATGTATGACTTTCTATTTCTCGACTGTGTGCTTTCATCTTTAAGTCATCATTTTCCTTGAGTTGCTCACTAGCCACTTAGCCTGGTGCTCATGACGCACTACGGAACCTTCTCCACCACTGGGGGACCAAGCAGGGCATAGCTAGCGGCATAGGAGCCAACATTTCTATTTCTCGACTGTGTGCTTTCATCTTCAAGTCATCAGTTTCCTTCAGTTGCTCACTAGGCACTTAGCCTGGTGCTCATGACGCACTACGGAACCTTCTCCACCACTGGGGGACCAAGCAGGGCATAGCTAGTGGCATAGGAGCCAACACGGCATCAGCAGTTGACAGAGCGTACCTTGGAGTTGGGCAAAGGTTTTCCGACAAGATATGAGATCTTAGAAGGGAAAAAGATTCAAGACAGAAGCATTGCCTGCTGACACCTGCACAGTGCTGGAAGGTCAGAAGGAGAAGCCTAATAAGCTTTGAATGGAAGCCCCCGTGTTCTTGGGCACGCATAATCATCTACAAAACTTCAAGATCCCGTTCTCGGATACTTGAAAGTCAGGTTTTCTCTTAGTTACATCCAATCGTCGATTTTTTTTTGAATTTTTGGGTCTGTAGATGGCGATACCTTAATCCTTGTTTGAATCTCTAGTTCAATCCTCATGGTTGCTAACAGACTCGAGAGGTGACTTACTTCAAACTTGAATTCCGAATCTCGCACTCCTTCTAGTAGAGTCTACTCTTTAACCATCATATGCGTGATGCTTGAATTTCGACTAAGTGCATCCGCCACTTTGTTGGCTTTTCCGGGGTGGTACAAAATATCGCAATCATAATCCTTCAGAAGCTCCATCCAACGACATTGTCTCATGTTCAATTCCTTTTGGGAAAATAAGTACTTTAGGCTTTGATGGTCCATGTAGATTTGAAACCTTTCTCCACATAAATAATGCCTCCAAATCTTAAGTACAAAGATGATAGCCGCAAGTTCGAAATCATGCGTTGGATAATTCAGCTCGTGAGGCCTCAATTGTTGCAGTGCGTATGCAACTACTCTTCCATGCTACATTAACACACATCCTAATCCCTTTAGCAACGCATCACTATAGATTTCATATCCTCCGGGACTAGACGGTATTGTCAACACGGACGTAGTTGTCAACTTATGTTTAAGCTCTTGAAAACTTCTCTCGCACTTGTCTGTCCATTTAAATCTTGTTTTCTTCTTTAGTAAGCGAGTCAGAGGAGTAGCTATCGCGGAGAACCTTTCCACGAATCGTCTGTAGTAGCCGGCTATTCCCAGAAAACTCCGAACCTCTGTCACTGTCATCGGTGTTGGCCAATTGTAATTGCCTCAATCTTTGTTGGGTCAACTAAAATTCCATCCCCGGAGATGACATGTCCAAGAAATGCCACTCGAGTGAGCCAGAACTCACACTTACTAAACTTGGCATAGAGTGCATGTTCTCTTAAGGTCCGTAGAACCATCCATAGATGTTGCTCGTGTTCCTCGAGGCTCCTTGAATACACTAAGATGTCGTCAATGAATACAATAACGAACTGATCCAAGAATTCCTTAAATACCCGATTCATTAAATTCATGAAGGTAGCTGAGGCGTTAATCAATCCAAACGGCATGACAGTAAACTCATAATGTCCATATCTCGTACTAAATGCCGTCTTCGGTATACCCTCCTTCTTAATCCTCAATTGAATGTAGCCTGTTTTTAAGTCTATCTTGGAGAATACCGATGCCCCTTACAGTTGATCGAACAAGTCATCTATTCTTGATAACGGATACTTGTTCTTGATGGTCACTTGATTTAACTGCCGATAGTCAATGCGCAAATGCAATGAACCATCCTTCTTCCTTACGAACAACACTGGTGCTCCCCACGGTGATGCACTCGGACGAATAAATCCCTTATCCAGTAGTTCTTGCATTTGAACCTTCAACTCTTTCAACTCCGACAATGCCATTATGTAGGGCGTTCTAGAGATTGGCTCAGTTCCGGAGGCCAACTCGGATACGAACTCCACTTCCCCTTCAGGCGGTAATTATTGACACCTAAATTTTGCCTAGTCATTTAAGGTCTAATTGCATAGAAAACTAGGGATTAATTTTTAACCCCCTAAACAAAAATATTTTCATTAAATTACATAGCACATAGATATTAGGCACATTTGTATTAATAAAATTTGGTGAAACATGTTTTCCTTTTATTCTATTTTTATTTTATTAAAAAAAAGCATTATAAAATTTTTTAAAAGAAAAAAAAAGAGGGGAGAGAAGACAAAAGAGGAGCTTTTCCCCATGGACAGCTCTCCCTCTGCATGCGCACAGAAGCGAAAGGAAGGAAAAAACAAAAGGGGGAACTCTTCCATGGATTGAGAGGGAGGCCTTTCTTTCTCTCTCTTTGGTCTCCATCCACAGACACACGAAAAGGGAAAGACTACAATCTGCACATGCAAAGGGGGAGTCAAGAGAGAGTTTGACTGGAGTGACTGGAGAGAGAACGGGGAGGATAAAGCCAGCGAGAGGGAGGAAGAAAAAAAAAAGGGGAGTGAGAGGAGAGACACCGAGAGAAATCTTGAGGGGAATGGGAGAAGACGAAGCTTCGCTCGTTCGTCGAAGCACCGTCCCAATCGCCATCGAGCCCCCTCCGCCATGCACTAAGAGCTCACGAACACCCGAGTTAGCCGTTCTCTCATTCTTGGCCATCGGAGCTCCTCTCGACCGAGCTGAGGGACTCGCGGAGAACCCTTCGTTGCAAGAAGATTAGCGATCATCAAGAGCATTTTTACGCGCCAGCGACACTAGCCCGACTGATCTGGAACTCGGCGATTGAACCAGGTACGTATTTGCCCTGTTCTTTCCTCTGCATCTCGGTAGTCTCACGTACCAAGTGATGTAGCTAGTAAGGATCACCTAGAGGGGGGGTGAATAGGTGATCTTAAACAATTTTTGTCAATTTATGCGGAAATTAAAGAACATAGTTAAGTCTGAATAAAATTCAGATTCAAAACAGTTTATATAGACAATGCTCTTGATGTGCAAAATGTAAATAAAGAGATAAGGGATAGAAAAACTGCACACAAGTTTATAGTGGTTCGGCTTATAGCAAGCCTACGTCCACTCTCCCACGCTTACAACCTACTGGCTGGATTTCACTATGTAATCAAGAGGAATTTACAGATTCTGAGTGACAGGACTCTTGTGTATGATAGGACTCTCTATCTCACACAATCACTCTTACAAAGTATCCCTCAAGATCTTAATCTTTGGCTCAGAACGACAAGAGAAATGATTGGAGTATGCTCAGACTTTGGACTTGTTGATTCGTGATTCTATACATCCTTCTGCTGCTCGTTGATCTCCTTAAATACTCCTCTACTTTCAAACTAGCCGTTAGACAGCTTTCAGAGGATCATCTTCCAATCTTCACCTTGGACAGATTTGTATAATAAGGATTGAGTAGCCGTTGGATGACAGATTCTGAATCCCGCTGATTCTGGTCACCCATACAATCAGAATCTTGGTTTCCATAAGTAGAGCTTTGTCCGTTGTAATGCATTCTTGTCGTAATGTTTGATTGTCAATCAATTTGATTGAGATTGAGATTGAGACAATCAGAACATTCCTTCTGTGACATCTATGCCAGATCATTAGCTGTTGTGTTTCGTTCTGAATTCTGCGTCCGAATAATTTCTGCGTCTGCGTCTGCATCTGAATAACTTCTGCGTCTAAATCTCAGAACCTAGATTATGTGGGTCTTCAAAAAGATACTTAACAGCTTGTAAAGTCTGAATAACTTTTTTATGAGTTTCTAGAATATACATACTTGGAATAAATTAGTTCAGAATAAGTATCAGACTTATAATTATGTGGAAGGTTTTGTCAACTTCAAAATTAATAGGAGTTTTCCTCAACACCAAGTTCACTAGGTGGTGTCGTGACCCAATCGTGTGATACCGAAGCTGGATCGTAGTGTATAATGACGACTTGGGTTGTAAATATCATGTTTGGGGGCCAAGAATCATGTCGAAACCAGATTCGGACCTCGCATTCTTAGTCGCATGTTGACTGTTCGTGGAAATGCTTGAATGAGATATTAGAAGCTTTAAGCACTGAGTTGGGTTCGAAAGTTTTGAACGTTTTTGTGTAAACTGGGATGAATTTGTTATCATACATGGTCGTTTAGAGTTGTATACATCATGTTTAAAGCTAGAAATCGCATTGAATCTCACCCAAGAACGTGTATCTCAGCTTGCGTACCACATGTTCGACGAAATGCCTAAATAGAAGTCTGAATGGTTTTTTTTTTTGTGGAATCGGTGCTTGGAACTCGGTTTTTATGCCTTTTTGTTCTTATACTTATTGGATCAACACTGACTCTGTGATTTCTTTCCATTTCGTGGCGTGAAAGTCGTTTCCCCGACGTCGGCCGTGGACGGGCACATGAGTTGGAGTCGCTGTTCGTTCCCAGCGACGCCTTGGTTTGGAGCCCCACCGTGTTAGTTTTTGTATGCTTTACTTTGCGCATGTATGCTTGTGTGTACAGGCTTAGCGTCCATTGTTGGGGTCGAATGTTCAGCCACCAGTGTCGTCGCCGGAGCGTTGGCCGGCGGTGACGGCGTAAGGGCGGCGCCGGTCGTTGGCGCTGGCAGCCCGAGTCGACGGCCGGTGGTGGGTGTCCTCCGGCGTAGTCACAGTGGAAGTTCGCTTGTGGAGAAAGCTCTCGGTGAAGAAGTCCCAGCGAAGAAGGACGTGCATGTGTAGAAGGCATGCGGGGGATTGAGAAAAGCAAGAAAAAAGAAAAAAAAAGAAAAAGGAAAATCAAAAGAAAAGAGTCAAAAAACAGAAAAGGAGTGGGGAATGGGGGGTCCCGGTTCAGGTGTCGGGCGGATTGGGTTAGGGGACCCGGTCCGGAATTATTATATTATTAAAAGTATTAAAATATTAAAAAAAATTAAAAAATTTTAATTTTTTTAATTAAAAAAAATTTTGAAAATCAAAAAATATTATTTGGGCTTTGGAATTGGCTTGTCTTGCCCATTTTGTGTGATTAGT